GAAGAAGAGAGCCAAAGTTGGAGCCTAGGGCAGTATCAACTGAAAACAATATACTGAAGGAACAATAGGACAAGCAGAGGGGGAATTCTAGGATATGAATGCCTGTGAGGAAGAGTGTAAGATGTAGGTGTGGTTGACAGTGTCAAAAGCTGCTGTGATGTCAAGAATAAGGATGCAATGTAGGTGGTAAGATGATGCCATTGACTAATTTTTCCTTCTGCACTGAGTAAAATAGCTTACATTCTGTGTAATTTATATCATTTCCTTATCCTCTTGATCCTTGATGCTGCCATTCAACTACTGAATTCTCATGAAACAATAAAAAAGCTTCCTTTGAACGTAATGATATTTTAATCAAACTGCTCTTTGCACAAATTCAGTGCATCATAGCATCAGCTAATCGTAAATAATTCTGTTTTAATTTCCGTCAAAGTGTTTGAGAGACACATATGAAATTAGTCTCTCAAAGACCCACAGAAACAGATGGTCTCACTCCCACAGTGCCCATTCTCATCAGAAAGGCCCCAGGTTGTGATACTCACTGCTACAACAGGATGAGCCCAAGCTGAACAGTATTTGGTTTTGTGTGTTAAAATATCCTGCAGTATCAGAGTAGAAGAATATCCTGGCACATCTCTCAGATAAATTGGAGGCAAAAGGTGTGACTGAATATGAGAGTGGTGGAAGGCAAATCTATCAGCCCTAAAATGATGATGGCCCTGTTCCCTAGGAGCTGAAAAAAGTTTATCTCTGGTTAGCTACAGTCGCTTGAGACCAGTTAAGGGCTACCAGTGCCCTTTAAAAACCTCTCTTTTGATAAGAAAGAGGGAGACAAGCTGGAACATGGATAGTGGCAGCAACAGGAAAGAAAGGCTTCTCTGTGGTGGAAGGCTCTATCCCCTGCCTTAGTTTCTTTTCCTAAAGGGAACAGCTGCTTGGAGAAGGACTGAAAAATAGGAACTCTCCTCCAAATAATGCTTCTAGGTAGGCCAGCAGGCCCCTAACTTGGGATCCAGCCATGTCCTTCAGCCCCTGCACAATATAGACTTCTGGAACCAATAGCAACTCCTCCCAACTGTACTCAGAACAGCAGTTCTACCAGTAGCCATTGTTCTCTCAAATACACATCTGTGGCTTGAAGCTTTCCACCCAGCCTTGTTCTGTTTGGTTTATTACCTGTTTTGCTTGCACTGTTGATTTAATTAAAGGTTTGTTGATAAGCACACTGTTAGTAGATTGTTTAGTTAAATGTATCTTCAAAGATAAAAACAACTGATTTAATTAAACTTTCTTTTTGTTTTTTTCTTGTTCTTTCATAAAATAAATGCTTACAATCCATCCAATACAAGCCATTAACTTAGAAAAGCCTTAAAATAAAGCTGAGATAACTGATAGTGATTTACAAAAAAATACATAGGAAGCATTTCACTTCACTACCCATCTGAAATGTATTTATGTAAATATCTATTGCCTAATTCTTCCTAGGAGAGTCTATGTTTTAGCAATACAGTAAAACTCCGATGGTCTGGCAACTGACGGTCCGGCACTCCTGATGGTCCGGCACCATCAGGAACCCGGAAGTGCTCCGGGCAGCCGGACCATTGGAGCTGCTCTGCCCCCAGCTTCTCCGATTCAGCCGCTGCTAAAACTGCGCTGAATCCGGGAAGCAGGGGGCAGAACAGCTGGAGTGCTGCCGGGTAGGTCCAGTAGCGCTGCCCCTCGGGGCTGCGGGACCAACCCAGCAGCACCACAGCTGCTCTGCTGCAGGCGTCCCTGATTCAGCCGCTGCTGAAACTGACCAGCAGCGGCTGAATCTGGGACTCCTGGGGCAGAGCTGGACTATCAGAAGGGAGGGCTATGAGGGGGTCTGGGGTAGCATCCCCCCACCCCACCCCAGACCCCTCATAGCCCCCCTTCTGATAGTCCGGCATATCTGATAATCTGGCACCCCCTGGGTCCTAAAGGTTCCGGATTATCGGAAGTTTACTGTAGTAGGATAATACCCCATAGCAGGACAGGGAAAAGTAATGTTTGAATTGAAAATTCCAGGGGGAGGTGATTTTGCTTAATTTATTGTGTTTACCCTGAGTCCCATCCTCTAAATAGAGAAAAATAAAACCAGAGTGAATAGAAAAATCTTTTGAAGTTGTATTGGTTTACTCCAGGTTCCCCACCACCCAAGGAAGAAATGCTGAGGCTGATGAAGCAAAGGCAGTATCCTGTCACAAAAGAAAGAACAGGTTAAGGTGATTAGGATTGAACAAACAGAGGAGAACTTACAGAGTCAGGAGCAATGAGAAAGGTAGTCAGATACACCAGAGTAGGGTTCAGTGGTCTCAGTTGAAACAGACATCAGAGGAAAAGGAAAAGAGTTTGTAAGTACTTGCTGCAGTAAAATGTATTAATTTAGATGAAAATCTGGCTGAAGCCAAATCTTAAAACACATCTAAAAAGCATAGACATCTCCCTGTATAAAAAACTTTTCCTGTGGGACAACAGAGCAACGGCATTACATCACTCTGGAGTCCCACAGACTCTGCCCTCCCACGGACTCCTTGCCCCAGACTCTGTTCTGGGATGGCATGACTTGCTCCAGGGGCACTTGCTTGTGCAGCTGTTGTTCTTGGTGCTCACAGGCTGCTGGGCCAGCATGCTCAGGAGTCGTGTGAGGAGGCACTCAGCAGCACAGACCTGAGCGGCCTGGGCCCCTTTTGCGTGGTGCTGCAGCCTCGCCCTCCCTCCTCCCCCATGCGGTTGGTTCTGGCTTCCCGCTGGGAGGTGGGGGGGGGGGAGGAAGGGGTTGGAGAGAGAGAGCCCCGAGCCTTGCTGCACAAGGAAGAAGCGCTCCCCATCCTGGGCTGGGGGAACAGCAGTGTGTGAGCGCACCGTGTCTGGAGCCTTTCCCTGCCCTCCCACTGGCTAGATTCCACCTAATGGGATCAGCGGGAGGCTGACCCTGGGACCGGTGTGGGGCCTAAAGACAAGTAAGTGCCCTCTACTCCCTCATGCCCAGACCCTGCCCTACACCCCTTTGCTCAACCCTGGCCAAGACCCTGCCTTTTCCCCTGGGCAGGCACCCTTCTCCCAGACCACTCCTGCCCCTTCCCTCCTGGCCAGACACCCACCCCTACCCTGCTCCTGCCCCACACCACCAGCCTCCTCACTCATCCCTCTGCCGAGACCCTGCACCCCAGCCTGTTCCTGCCCCCTTTTCCTGGCCAGATACCCTGTCCCCTACCTCCCCACACAGACTTCGTACCCTCAGCCCCATCTGCACCCTACCTAATGCTCAGATCCCACTCACTGGCAGCCTTATCCTACACACTGAACCCCTCATTTAGGCCCCACTCGAGAGCCTAGGATGCCCACAAAATCCACTAACCCTGGAACTCCAGAAGAGTTAATCTGACCTGAGGCCTTGAAACTCAGTTCTCTTCTGCCTTCCTCCGGGCTGGAGCACTGGGGAAGTGAGGTGTTTCATTTGGGGGTCACATCTTAGAGGGTTGGGGAGGGATTGAGGGTTTGTTTGTTTGTTTGTTTTGTTTTTTGCTTCTCACTTGGGTGGTCCTCAACTGATAGTTTTCTGTAGGTCAGTGGTCCCCAACCCAAAAAAGATTCCCCACCCCTGCCATTAATAAAGACAATACGGAAACCTTTTTGTGTTGGACATAACATTTTACTTTATTTAAAATGAAGCCTGGCAAAAAAGGCTCCAACTGGGGCCCAGCCCCCATCTGGCCTCAGCGTCCTGTCCTCGGCCCCAATCCTGAGGTAGGCCCCATGGTCCAGCCCCCATCTAGTCAGAGAAATGGCTGGTAGCAGCCCCCCTTCTGCTACGGCACAGGTAGGGGGAGAGGCCACAATCCAGCTGCAGCAGATGGAGGGAGGTTAGCAAGCAGGTGGCACAGCCTCCAATTTCCAATAACTATGTTTATTAATAAATAAACATAACACAGCTTTTTGTAACTGAATATTTCTCATTTTTCATATAGCAAGAGAATGCTTTAACATAGTCCATTTTATAAAGCTGAATAAGAATTCATTATTTTTCTTTCTAGAATGTTTAGATTGACATTTTACTGCTTCTTGACTAAAATAAGAATTTCTGAGCTGCCAACTTGTCAACATAAAAAGTTACTGTGTTGGCTGTTCTAAAAACCAAAGCAGAAAAGGCATCAAAAAAGAAGCAATTACTGTCAGATGGCACAGCCACAGACTGATTAACAGTTTGAACTCAGTTTATACCAAGTATCCAAATGATCGGATTGAGCATCTTGAAACCATGTTTATATGGATTTTTGCCATAGCAAGACAAATCATACCTCTTACAGAAACTAAAGAACTGAAAAATCTGTGACGAATATGTAATAATACAGAAATATAAGCCTGTATTACTGGCAGTTTGGTTTTTTTAATGACAACATAGCTACCAGAACATAAAATGTGATATGCTGCCACTGAAATACACTGTTCATTGAACAAGAATAATCCAAAACCACAGAACTTTAGTTTAGTATAGTATACTGCACTTGGTTACTCTGTGTGGAATGGATACAGTACATGCTGGTAGTCCTACATTATGATGTAAAACACTCTATGAAAGCTTGAAATTTGGTAAATTTTATGAGGAAAAACCAATATTTGCCTTTTTATATACCGTCTTTCTATTCTTATACTAAAAGAAGTATTAAAAATGTGCTTGATAATAGGTTACTTAGTCTGATTTATTTTCATCACTACTAGAAGTTTTGAAACCCTACTTCAACATTTTACTACTGCACTTGGGAATGACACCGATTCTTTCCTTTGCCTACATGATACAATTAAATATCTCCTTGTTGCATTACCACAGTCTTTATATACTGATGGATAAATGGATATGTACCTCCACTTATTCAGGTTAATACTCAAACACTGTATTAAGTCTCTCTCTCCTTGTTTGTATTAGACCATAAACAAGTGTAATTTGTTTTATTAACAGTTCATACTTTCTTTAACAGGAGTTGCTAAAAGATCCCTTATATATTGGACTGAGGCACAAAAGAGTCAGGGGTCAAGCCTATGATGATCTTCTTGATGAATTCATGCAAGCGGTGACTTTCAGGTATGTAGTATATTTGTATTCTTCACACACATGAATTCAATTGAACTTCAGACTAGGAGAGAAAGTGTCCCAGAAGCTTTTAAAAAAAAGGGGGGATGGGAAGGAAATAGGAAAATTGCTGGAGTTTTATTTTTCACTTGCTATCTATATATTATTTCTACATTTTGATGTATTATGTCAACTTGTCTTAAATACTTAGTATAAATTCATTAAATATTGTTGTAAAATTATAACCTTAATTCAAGTAATCTTTAGAGGTGCGCTAAATGGATTTGGCCAAATAACCTTTTCACTTTGAATTGAGACTCAAGATTGCAGCTTAACGATTTCCCCTCCCCTTCATTTACATCTTTGAAACTATAATAAGATCTGAGCCCATCTAACTGCCTGTCAGATGGATTATATTGATACCATACTCTGAAGTTTCTCTATTTCTTGTGCCTAGAGGGTACCATGTGCATCTGAAATCCTAGAACTATTCAGATTTTGCAAGGTGTAAAAGAATCTGTTGAGTATGCCAGTGCAGAGAAAGGGCTGTTTTCAGGAGCTTCTATAGTCAGGCCAAACAGAAAGATTGTCAGACCTACTGGCATGTGTTGTCATAGTTTCAAAGAGATAAATTAAGATGTGAGAAATACCAGGGTACAAATTTACTGATTGAATATAGTCTTGGAAAATAATTATTTGCCCAGACTTGTTCAGCTTGAACCCAGGAGACGTTTCAGGTTTCCTTACATTAGCTTCTTACTCTTCAACAACAGAAATCAATATAACCTCTCTCTCCTCGTTAGAGAATCTGCTATTGACAGTGTGCTAAATTAATTCAAACAAACAGGCAAGCCGGAGATCATAAAATTAGCTAAAGCTCTGTTTTTTTGTTTTTGTTTTTTTTCTGTATCACCTACAGACTTTGTGTAGGCTACAAGGTAATGTGTTAGCTGTGATTTCACTGCATGGTATAAGCAGGGGCATTGCACCCTATAAAAGGAAAATAAAAGGTAACTTTTTAGTTAAGTTACTGAATGCCCTTTGATTGCTTAGTGGAGTAATTCAACACATTTTGCTAAATAGCAGAGCAGAACGTTTTTGTAGTTTACTGTTAGCACGTGAAATATGATGTAAAACTGATTACTGTTACCCAGTAAAGCCTCATATATTACATTTAGTAATAGGCACCGCTACCATGTTTACATCAAGCTGAAGTATATGTGTTTTTGACTGAAATATAATATAAATCGTAAAGGATATGTGGCAAAACTTTCCTTACTCTATACCTTTTCCACAGAAATGTTTTTAAAAATACAGATTTTGACCTTGAGGTACTGTATGTTGATGTCCCCCAGAGGCAAACATTTGAAATACAAGTATATAGCCAATACTCATAGTTTCAAATACAAAATGATACATGCATACAAATAGTATAACCAGAACCAATTAATCATAATCTTTTTATAGACATCGTACTTGGCACAAGATTTTGTGCAAACATATAACATTAGTTGCAACAATTATTTTCATCTCACAATCCAATAATGTCACACTTTCCAGACCAGGATGAATTTCTAAGGATCCTGTTTTATCATTGGCATAGGCCTATCCTAACTTAGCTCTCCTTTTTCTGTTTTCTTCTACAGAAAGTACTTTATTTTTATAGCTAAGATTTGGAATATAATTCTCGATTGTCAAATAATGATATCTAAAATTTACTCAAAATAATTCCTGTTCATTAAACATATAGGGTGTGTCTAGACTGGCAAGATTATGCGCAAAAGTGGCCGCTTCTACGCAAAAACTTGCCAGCTGTCTACACTGTCCGCTTGAATTTGCGCAAGAGCAATGACGTTCTAATGTAAGAATTCAGTGCTTCTTGCGCAAATATTTTGATGCTCCCGCTCAAGGATAAGCCCTCTTGCGCAAGAATACTTGCGCAAGAGGGCCAGTGTAGACAGGCACCTTAATTTTTTGCGCAAGAAAGCCCGATGGCTCAAATGGCCATCGGAGCTTTCTTGTGCAAAAGCGTGTCTATACTGGGCACAGATGCTTTTGCACAAAAGCATCCGTGCCAATCTAGATGCTCTTTTGCGGAAATACTTTTAATGGAAAAAATTTTCTGTTAAAAGTATTTGCGCTAAATCTTGCCAGTCTACACGTAGCCATAGTGTTCCTTTGGGTTTATATACCTAAAGCCTTTGAACAATACTGTTGGTGCTCAAAATATCAGCCTTCACTGAGTGAATCTTCCTAGAAGTCCTCCAGTACCAGTTCTTGATGTATAGTGATAGTCATTGCTGTTGATGTGAGATATTCTTGTTGGCTCAAGGCATGCGAAATTCCAAAGGAGTGGCAAAATCGAATCAAGAACTTGCCCTTTGAGAGATCTAAGCTGTTCACTCAAAAGACTGGTGCCACCACTCAAACCTGTCTTTTCCAGGCATATCTGACATCTCGACGAGTTTACATTCCAAGCTCAAAAAAGTTTAAACTTGAGCAATACCACAAATCACATTTTCAGCAGAGATTCCAGGACTCTGTTTAAAGACAATTTAGGCCTTCCTGACATCACTAAATGGCTTTATCTCAATCAGGTTCTTCACATCAGATATTAACAGCCTTCTGAGCAATCATTTTGACCACCTCCTCACGGACAGTCTACCAGTCTCAACACCAACATCTGTTGGACAACAAATACCTCTCTTTTCAGTATTTGGAATGAAACATATGGATCAGTGTTTCTCAAACTTTTTAAGACCGAGGAACACCAAACAATTTTTTTTTTTGAGGCACACCAATGATTTTTTTGTTGAGCAAAAAAAAAAGGGGAGGGAGGGGGAGTAATTGAGGAAAAAAAAAAGGAAGCCATTTTGAATTCTGTTGTTTTCTGCGGCACACCTCCGATTACCTCACAGCACACCAGCATTCTCCAGAACACAGTTTAAGAAACACTGATATGGATGGTCAGGAATCTAAAGGAGAGACAGATATCTACTTCATCTCTTCCCTTTCTCCAACCCACTTTCCCTGTCCCTTTTCAGGGACCTGTCTCTGAATATCATGTTGAGTCAAGAAGTATGGTCTCCTCTAGAAATGGAAATGCCAGATGTTCCTTATCACAGAGGGAAAGAACTCTATTTCTGTTACTTCCTAATTATCCAAAGGTCTGGGACATGCATTTCATTTAGGCCTCAGGAAGATGAACTGTTTTATCAAGAAAATCAAGTTCATGATGGCTCTACCTTCACTCACACAGTCATTATCCTGGAAATTGCATGGTAATAGCAGCACACCTGTGCCTCTGAGTTGTGCAAATTTTCAGGTCTTCCAATTCGAGGCACTGCTCTGCAGCCACCTAACATGGTGCCAAGCCCATTGAGATAGTATTCAAAGAAGAAAAGTTTACTCACTCTGTGCAATAATTCCAGTGTGTCCCTATGTGTGCTTCACTACCCACTCACCTCCTCTCTGCTCTGGAGTTCAGACATAAATTCTGCAGTATAGAAGAAACCAAGGGTGGTTGAACCACGCTGAACTCTGTAGCCACTTTACAAAGTGTGAGACTGGGGGAGGCATATATGTAGCCCAACCGGGCACTGCTACTGAAAATCTCCAATCCAAATTATAGATCACAAGAATACATAATATGAAGCACCAACAGGGGGACATACTTCAGAGAACCTCAGTGACTGCACAAGGTGAATAACCTTCTCTTTGCTACCAACCTAAACAAGTTCAAGAGGTTTAGCTCCCTAGAGGGCTACAGTCCTGGTTCCTTAAGAGATGCATTTTTCCTTCCATTGCCCAATCCTCTGCTATAAGAGTTGCCTCCAGCCTTCTCATTCCAAGGGTTCTCAGGAAGATTAAAACAGACTAAGCCAATTTTAATCTTAGTGGAACCAAACTGGCTAGTGTAGTACTAGTTTGTGGACCTGCACCAGCTTTCAATCAGGCCACCTATAACTTTGTCCCTAGTTGGGGATCTTCTATCTCTCTACCTCACAGTGTGGATGAATTCTGGTTAAATGCATGTGAAAAATTGTTCTGATGATTGGGAAAGATTCCACTAGAATCGTATATGTAGCTAAATTGGAGAGACTTTTCCATATGGGCATAATCATGGTAATGATCACCCTATCGATCAGACATTTTCCATATACTGGATTATTCATTGCATTTGAATTCATCTGGCCATTCAGTTAGCTCTGTGACAGTTCACGTAGCTTTCATACCTCCAGTTCATCCATTAACAGAAGGATTTTCTGTTTTCTCTCACCTTGTGGTATCCAGATTTCTGAAAGGCCTAATTAATGTCTACCCTCTGGTATCTGACTGAGTCTTTTAAGCTAGCTCTGTCATGATTAATGTTCTTCCCCTTTGAAATATAGGAACAGTGTCTCATGCTTCTTGTCACAACTGCTAGTTCTTGACAATGAACCAATTCTTGAAATTAAAAATATTCAGTTATGTATAACATTTGTCCAGAAAAATCCAAAGAGTTATAATCTTGGTAAATATGCACAAACCTCTAACTAGCAGTTGCTTCAGCCTTCATGAAATGCAATCACTTTGATGACAGAAGAGAAGCTTGTTGACAATTTATTGCAACAGCCCAAAACAGTTGTGCACTATGGGTGAGGTAAAATAACAATGGAGTGGAATGCTCTAGAAATCCAGTTACAGTTTTATTATAATGTAACTGGTCTATGTAATTCCTGTTTTATTTCTGGGTTATCCTCTCTAAATTGAAAAAGTCAGTGTTAATATTAGAATAAATAGACAATCTGTTGGTTTGGGTAAGTATAAGAAAATGCTTTTTTCTGTTTCTTCCATTGCTATTGTTAATAAGTTATTCATTCCCCTCTTCTGTGGCATAAGGCAAACCAAATGATTGGGTTTTTTTTCCTTTGGGAAGTACTATTCTTCTGGCTTTATTTGTATTAATTTAAAGGTTCATTTAACACATTTAGGTGATGATTGGCAGGGGGAGAAAAGAAATTTGGAAGTCA